ATCATCATCATCATCATCATCATCATCATCATCATCATCATCATCATGACGATGATCAAACTTCCACTTTATCTAACCCTTGTGTCATGTCTCACGTCCACTCTGTCCTCTTGACACCCTGAAACTCGCTTCACCAGAAACTCCAAACCCGGTCGACGCCAAAAACGAATGGCTGGAAACCGATTCACATCCCTTCACATCCCTTGGCCTGCTCAACTCTCCTTGCCCTCAACATGGTTTGCCCCAAATCATCGTGGATCAAATGGATTCAAAAACGAATCGTCACGGCCGAGTCTATTCAACATGTTGGGTGTTGTCTCGGCTGGAAGTCCAAGACCATCTCCCGAAACCTGGCAGTCAGTCGTTCCTATCGTCCTTCGATGGTCGTCGAAAAGCATTGACCTCCCTGCCGGAACGTCCTGAATCTCGTTCACCCACCGCTTCACCACGTCTGGTACCGTGGCATGCCTGGGATTTGGGACCCGCGCATGACGAAAGCAGGGGCCATACAAAATAAAGTGTCTTAAGTGAATTCTTGGGTCAGGTCCATCATAAATTAGTGAACTTTTGTGATGAGAAACGCGTTTCGTTGACTGACCGTAATAAGGACGCAGCCCAAGCTAGGCGGCCCCTTGTGGAATTTCCACTTCGTATGTCACAACGCATGGATCATACCTGATCTACATGGACATAAAAGACACTCCATGTATGCCATATATATGCCTGCATTGGGGTGGTTTGAGGAGTCAATGTAGGCATAATTGATCCTAATTGCATTACCAGTCCATGGGTCGTGTCTGGGAATGATTTCACTCGTATGGGGCTGCATGCTTAGAATATCTTATCATGAAGGTTTGAAGCTCCTAGAGCTCCCCCCAGAGCTCCAAGGGTCGCTCCCTCACCACCTCGCAGCGCGGTCGGGGCCGGGTGCGCGATGTCCGTCGAACCAAGCCACAGGGTCATGCCACAGACCAACGCTGAGGAGGAGACAAAGGGATTCTTGTCAACCTGGCGGGCATGGCGGACCGAGTGGACCGTGTGGATTTCAAGGACCACCTCCAGACTCGTTTCTTTCGGTGAACCATCCCGGATGACGAGATGAGGCGAAGGTATACAAATGATGCGGAGCGTGGTTGGTTGCTGCCCTTGGGTAGGAGATCTGACACTCCAACAAAGGAAGGAGAGGGAGAGGAAGAAACCTGAGAGGGAACACTGCGGGTTCCCAAGGTAGAAAGGACCTCTATAGATTTATAGATAGCACATGATAGCACGGCTGGGTCAAGATAGCACACGACACGTCGTTCGGGTGTCGGTCCCACCAAGGGTATGGACGGAATAGACTGCTAAGGAGGTCCATCTACCAGGCTTTGGGGCTCCAGGTGTTGATACACAGCCAAATCTGTGCAGTCTTGAGTGCCAAGAAGAACTCTCTGCAGCTCACCGACCGATCTGTGGAGTGCCATGCTGGATGCTTCTGGATGACTTCAGCCACTTCCACCGAGGCCTGTCGGGGTTCATTGATGATTGATATAATTACCAGCAGTTCCGCGTCATTGTCACATCCACGGCCCCTGGATTCTGACTAAACACTACCCCTTTCGAACAAAGGTTGTTTCAAGACGTCTGGGGTTCTCAGATTTTGATCAAGGACCTCCAGAGATCGCCAAAATGGTTTGCCCAAGCCACGATGGCGGTCTTCAGATATCTGTCGATCTGCGCAGCCATAGCCTGAGATGTGGAGGATCGCGAAGAGGCCAAAAACGATTGATGCTGGGGTCGTTTGGGTAGTTGGAGGCCTGTCACTGCCACCGCCATCTGTTTCTATTGCTTCAACCAACATTTACCAGAACTGATGAGACCCCCCCAAAAAAGATCATAGGATCCGACCAAAAGCCAACACGCGGACCGGGCCTTGCACGATCTGAAAAAGCCCGTTAAAAACCCAGACTCTCCCATATTATCTTATGCCACCTCTGAAACCAGCACCCCTGGCCAGTCTCTGAATGGATCTGAGAAAGGAACTCTGCCACCAAGCAACCCATCCCAGCATCCCACCCCACCCCCTGGAAAAAGCGCCCCTCCCAGCTCTTCCGGTCCAAGACCAGGCGCCGGGTCCAGGACTCGGCTGAGCACTCGGATGGAGTTCGCCCGGAAGCAGTCGTTCTTGCCTCGCCGGAACCACCGGCGCTCGGTCCGCCGCACGGGTTCGGCGAAGGAAACCGCTAATCAGTGTTAGGGGGGAGATCCGAAATGGAGATCCATTGATCATATTGCGTCATTGATCTAGTATGTACGTACATGGTTTGAAGGTGTTTCAGAGTTACCTTCTGAAGATCTTTGTTGGGGTTCACTGCATATGTACAATATTATGTGGGTGAGGGTGTCTAGATCGAACGGCCTGATGACTTGATGATACTTGGTGGGTGTTACAGATTTACAGGTGTAGGTTCAGTCCCAAGAAAGGAAGCAAACAACCCAACCAAGGATGGTTTCCTCTATGGTTTGGCCACTGTCCGCCTTTGGGGGCATCATAGGGGATTCAACGTTGGCCACACCACAGGTTGGCTCGGGTTTGCTGCCAAAGACCTCTTTCATCCGTCTCATCTGTGTCTTTTTTTGTGTCTAGGATTGTCCCCCACGTCCTTGCGTCGCTCTGATCCAGTGTGTTGAACAGTGGGTTGCGTCGCTCCCATTGCGCCGCCTGGGAAGGTCCATCCGACCAAGATCAGAGCTCCGGGCGGCGTTTTCTTCTGGGGTGGGTGGGTGGATTTGGAGGGTCCAGTCGTACCTTTTGAGGAGGTACTTACTTGGATCCCTATAGGGAACATAATATACCTGCAAGCTCGTGGTTGCATTTTTTGGGTCGGTAGTTCAACATACCTTTATTTAGGTCTGTGAACCATTGTGAACCACATAAACATCCGCAACCGATATAGACATCCGCTTAAAAAAACATGCTCGGGGAAAAACATAACGCCCAATAAACGCCCTTAGCTTGTGTATAAACGCCCGAACATGTCTTTTGAGCGGATGTCTATATTATATATCGGTTGCGGATGTTTATGTGGTTCACAATGGTTCACAGACCTAAATAAAGGTATGTTGAACCACCGACCCCAAAAAAGCAACCACGAGCTTGCAGGGTATGCTTTCGTTTCGAGGCCCACGGATTCCCCGTTTTGGGACGTTTGGATCTCCCGCGTTCCCCTCTCCACCGAAAACGGGGTGACGGTGACGCGGGAAGCCGGGAAGGCGCCCCCCGACATGCAAGGATCCACCGAGACAGCACCTTTCAGGACGCACAGCAAGGGCCTAAGGGATTAGCATGGATTAGCCTTGTTGAAGTATTTGACATGTTGAAAGAGTGCCAAAAAAAGGGGGAGAGCATCCACAGAAACTGCACGAATCAAGTCATGAAGCCCTGCCATACCCATTGCGCTCAAAAAACGGAGCCAAGAGATGCCATGGGATCGTTGGCCGTTGGGTCAACCGACAGGTCAACCGACAGGTCAACCGACAGGTCAACCGAC